TGGCTGGCCCTATTTCTTATAAATAATGAAAAGGAAAAAGGAAATTGAAACAGGTATTTAGAAATTTTGGGGTGTGCATGTGTGGTACTAGGGATTAAACTCAGGGCCTTGCACATACTAGGCAAGTGCTGTACTACATCCCTTACCCTTTTAAAAAAATTTTTATTTTGAGGCAGGTTGCAGGCTGGGATGGAACTTGCAGTGCCCCTGCCTCAGCCTGCCAGAGTGTCGGGGTTCCAGGAATGTGCCACCACAGGTAGTTACAAAATTTGTTTTTGAGTAACAATATCAAATTGGTCTCAGTAGATTGAATGTATGTTTATGTGCCAAATATAGTTGAAATAAATATTTAGGATCAATTTCTTTAGTCTAAAATTTGCATTCTTTAATAAAAATTATTAACATTTAAACAGTGTTTCATGTTTATCTTAACCTTTTTACTCTAAAACTACCAGGTCAGAACCTGGGGACACAGATAAGAATAACCTGTGGGTTTAGCATGCACAAGGCCTTGGGTTCAATCCCCAGCACCACATAATAAACAAAATTATTAAGGCAAAGTGCAGGATAACATTGTTGATTGAAAGCAAAAGTTGGGGAAAAGAGAAATGTCTGTGTGGTTTGCCAGTGGAAGTTTTCGGAAGTCTTACCTTTGGTTTGGGACAGGTTCTCATTTAGCTCAGATTGGAGTTTTGGACTCACTATGTAGCCCACGCTGGCCCCAAACTCACAGGGCTCCCCCTGCCTACACAGCTCAGACTCATAGTGATCCTCCTGTCTCGGCCTCCCCAGAGCTGGGATTATAGGCGCACCACCACGGGACTGCATCCCCCTGGTACTGGGGATCGAGCCCTGGCAGGTGCTTAGGCTGCCGAGCTATCTCCCAAACCCAAGAAACAAGAATTGTGTGTAGTCTGTGAGGAAGGGAAAGAGGCTGAACGTGTGCTAGGCTGGAACGTGCGACATCCATAATTTAGGATGGGCAACAACAGAACATAATATACTTTGGCTGATTTACAGTATTGAGTTTTCTTTTGCTGAAAACCCACTTCCCACGTTTAGAACATCGGGTCAGAAGGTGAGAATTCCACCATTGAGAAACAGCGCAGGGAGCTACAGCTGCTCATTGGAGAACTGAAAGACCGAGATAAAGAGCTCAATGACATGGTGGCGGTGCATCAGAGGCAGCTGCTGTCGTGGGAGGAGGACCGGCAGAAAGTGCTGACTCTGGAGGAGCGCTGCAGCAAGCTGGAAGGTAGAAGCGCACCC